TGGTGTAGTATTTAGTTGGGGTGAAGCCGGCAGCCTGTAATCTCTGCATGGCACATGACTGAAATCCACTGGTCTTGAAGTGATGCTGCCTGGTGATGCTGCCGTCCTGCTGCGCTGGACGCTGCTGCCGCTCTGTGGCCGCCCACGTGAACTGCAGCCCCTCTCCCATAATGACCATTTGATTTTTAGAGGAGTTGCATCACGACCCCCCTCCTTACAAACACACCACCATCGCCACCACCTCTGCCTCCCCCTCTCCATCTCCACCACCACCACCACCACCACAACCCCTCCTCTCTGGGTTGGATAAATATTGCTGGAAGATATATAACGTGTTGCTATGGTGATCAGCTCGTGGATTTTTTTTTTTTTTTTTCATGGCGTTTGTGGAAGACAGGGACATGCGGGTGCACAGGGAGCTCTGAAGATCTGGTGTGTGTGTGTGTGTGTGTGTGTTTGTGTTTGAGAGAAAAGGAGGGAGGATGGAGGAGGAGGGAGGGAGGGAGAGAAGATGGGGAGAGAGAGGGATGGATGGAGGGAGGGGGTCTTTTTGAAGAGGAGGAACATTCACAAAAACATAGCAGACCCAAAAATAGGAGACAATCTCTCAGACCTGGTGTTTTTATGCATGCCACGCACCGCTCACCTACCGTAGCCTTATGTGCACAAAACTAAGAGCCCTGACTAGCAGCCGTCTCTGGGGAGTGTTTAACCTCTCTTCCTCCTCCTCCTCCTCCTCCTCCTCCTCGTCTCCTCCTTCCCTGTTTCCTCCTCCACCACCACCTCTCCATCTAAACACCACCACCCCTGGTCTCCTGCTGCTCCATCTCTCTGGGGACACATTCTCAGTCTGCCTGATTGGCTTCTGCTTATGTGCATGTGCTAATGTGTTAATGCGTCTGTGTGCATGTGAGTGCATGAGCACGCTGTCCTCTATCAATTAGCGCAAGCTGGTGCAGCAATTACCATTACCCATTGTGTTTGTGTCGTGTGTGTGTCGACGCACACGCACACAGGGGACCAACCAGTGCATCACTGATCACCAGCTGTCTGCCATTGAAGACTCTCTGATGGTCAAGCCCACACAGACGCACAACTGCTATGATGGAATGGACATTTGTATGTGTGTGTGTGACTCTGCGATGGTTCACAAGATACTCCACCAACTCTCTCCTTCAGACCAGACGGCATCCTAGGAGACACCTGTGTGTGTTTATGAGTGTGTGTGTGTGTGTGTGTGTGTGTGTGAGCGCAGCCCAGATGGCCATCTTCGAGGGGTTTTCTGGAACATTCAGACACTTGTTGCTTCTCGTCATGTCTCTTTCTTTCACTCTCTCTCCCTGCCTCACACACACACACACACACTCTCTCTCTCTCTCTCTCTCTCTCTCTCTCTCTCAGTGCTTCTTTTGAAGTGTGAAACAGCTTGCGGTCAGCTCTGCTCCTCTTCCATGGTTCCATCAAATAGCAGCCTTCTGAGCCTTCAGATACATGATGAAACAAAAACAACCGCGCAGTGTTAGCAGAGGAAAGGAGGAACAGATATTCCTCCTGGATGTGGTGGAAGACTGCGCAGTTCTTTATCCAGCTCCATGGCGATGGACTGGCAGAGGGGATCAAACCGTGACGTTTACTTGGGCGAGCCCAAAAAGTGCGAGGTCAAGTGTGCGCTTCTGACCTGGCAGCTCTTTTCTGTGGCGCTTCAAAGACTGTGGCACCTCTTTTATGGCTGTTATTAGTTCTGGTTGTTCGTTGGCAGTGATTTAGTGAAGATAGACAGCAGTGCTTAGTTTCCAAGAGCAGTGGTGTGTGTGTGTTGCTGGCGCTGAGGTCAAAGCTGCTGTCAGATCAGACAGCGACATCGTATTACATACCGGCACCTTTCATATAAAATGAGAAATCACTGTAATTTTTCTTTCAGCTGAGGGAATGTACCCTCAACCTTAACTTAAATCTACCTTTTCAGCCCAGCTTTTTTGTTATGTATATGGTTTAATGTTGTTAAATGTTATTCAAATTTTTTCTTTTGTGTGTTTTAGCAAGTTTCTAATCTAGTTTTTCTTTATTATTTTAAAAATTATTTATCTAATTGTATTTTTTTATCCTCTGTCTTTATTCTAATGTATTCTTGTTTTTATGATTTTACTGTGTTTTTTCAATCAATTCTTTTGAATTCGAGCTTTCTTTCTCTCCCTGCTTTTCTGTCTCATTATTAACTTATCAGTCATCTGCGAAGCTCTTTGAACTGCTACCAAACTGAAAGGTGCTACACAAATTAAGCTGAACTGATCGGCTGAATTTTAATGGAGAGCAGAAAAAGTAAATCCGATATTTTTCATCATCAAGGATATTTTTCCAGTTTTGATGGTCAATTCCACTCCAAATGTGCACAACCACTGCTATATTACTGGTGTGCCTTATAGCAAGTAATGGTCAAACAAGTACAAAGTTTAGTTCATTTTGAGCTATAGCGAGGGCCTTGTGTTTTTTTAAGTACCATAAAAGAAGATGCAGTTCTGCTGAACAAAAGAATAATTTTTCTACAGTTTCTTACATATCAGAAAACTCCACATATGCATGAACACAAAGACCAGTGACAAATTAAAGGAAAAAAGATAAACTACATGAGTGGAGAAACACAACAAATGAAGAAGCTTCCACTCAGTGATACTACATGACACAGTTAAACAATTACCATCCAGTCATGCTCTGTGGCGCGTTTAAAAATCAAGAGTTGTATCAAGATGGCAAAAGGAAAATATCTGAAAGACTTCTGTAGAGTACTACTTTACTTATTGTTGGGGTACAGATGGCAGGAGCTTCAGTAACACAGACTGCTCGGCTAATTTTAATTTCAGTAGGATGTGTGATTAAAGTGACATGTGCAAAGGGATCCCTTCTATTCTGTGATGCAACGTTTCTATCATGTTGGGAGTGATTTCTTCCAGGATGCCCCAATCCACAGGGCATGAGGGGCAGGTTTGATTAAAATTATGTGAATCATGTGCCAACATCTTGGCAGTCACCTGATCTCAACGCAGTCGAGCACCTATGGGAGATTTTGGACCAACATGTTAGACAGCACTCACCGACATCATCATTACCAAAAACACCAAATGAGGGGCCGCCGCTGTAGCTCAACTGATTGAGCTGGTGACCCATATACAGGGGCTATAGTTTCCAACGCAGCAGTCATGGGTTAAAATCCAGCCCATGGCCGTTTGCTGCAGGTCCTTCCCTCATTCTTCTCCCCACTTTCCCGTCTCACTCTCTACTGTCCTGTCAAAAAAAGCCCCCCCCCCAAAAAAAAACACCAAATGAGTGAATATCTTTTGGAAGAACCTCCAGTAGAATTCAGAGACTTGGAGAACCAATACCAAGGGGCAATAAAGCTGTTCTGGCAGCCCATGGTGGCCCAACACCTCACTAAAACACATTATCTTGGTTTTTCCTTTGATTTGTCACCCGTCTGTACATGTAATAACAGAAATGCATGTTGATTTCTGGAAAGTTCAGAAACAAGTTGAAGTGAGTCTCACTTTAAACTGTGCATTTACCACCATTGCGCATTGTACAAGTGCAATGGCATCAAAGTATGCATGAATGCTATGAGTTGAGTGTGCATGCATCATCAATATTTATACAAATAAGAAATTTTTTTTTTGGCAAAACAGTAAAATATATGTATAGGATAACAGAAACGTAATAAATTATCCTTTCCAGACTGATTCTGTGGGTTTGAAGTACAACATTTTGCAAAGACTGGATGAAATTTGTAGGAGTGGTAAGAAAAAAAAAAGTGAAGAGAATTTCTGTGTAGGAGGATATGGTTGTGGCCTATTTGGACAGATAAGTGTGGGAAAAAAAATTGCTTGTGGTTTTATGGTTTTGGCGCTAGTTCCTCGTGTGCTCATGATATTCAGGCACATGAATAGGACTGAAAACACAACCTTCTAAGCAGAGATCCTAAGCTTTCAAAGTGTCTCATAATCATGTCACTCCGAAATGTCTTAATGACATTTTTAAAGTGTTAAATGCTGCCTCTGTGTAGGTGAACTCAGAAACTACCTCTAATTACTCATCAGCTGTGTGCACCAGTGTGTCAGCTGCACACTAATGCATTGAGTCACCTCAAATGGTACAATTTGAATAATTTTGTCATGCTGCTTTGTGTCTTAAGATTGCTTACTCGTTCTCTCTAGCTCTATCATGGCCTCTGATATTTTATTTTGCTGTTTTATGATGTTTATTTGCCCTTCAACAAGTCACACTGTGTGTAAATAAAGCTAATAAAGACATTTGTCAGGCAGGAACAACAAAATCCCACTTGCTTAAGAAATCTAAAATAGAGAAACACCTAAAATTAAGCTGATGGGGACAGAATAAAACAAACACGAGGCATAAATATCACATCTCCAGATCTCTGGAGTTGGATGCACATTTTCTGTTATTACTTTAGGTACTTATTAAACTCTGTAATCCATCTTTCGTGATGTTCATATATACTGTATGTGTATTGCAGCATAAGCTCGTCTTGTGAAGGAAAACAGAAAGCAGAGTAAACTAGTGTCACCCCCATGTGTCGGCGAAGCTGAACTACATGTTTTGAAGTTTATAGACAACCTGCTTTTACACAACTCCGCTATACAGCATAACAAAGATGTACACCCACTGCATGAGTCGACCCTTTATTCTGCTGCCTTTAGCGAGATGGAAAAGAAACTGAATATAAAGCTTTTTCAAGCAAAGAATGGGACGGTTAAGGAACCGAGAAAGAAAGCATTAGTTAACAGGGCAGGCACTGTGACGGATAATAGCTGAAACTCTCAGGCTTCTCCGCTTCATTGTACTCCGTATCGTTCTTTTCAAAAGAGAGAACTGAAGAATCATAGAAATAGCCCTTTTAAGTAAAGCAATGAAATAAAGTGTCAAGCAGGTGTTACAAACAATAAATCAATCAATCAGTAAATGATTATTCCGTTACAAAACTCAGAAACAACTTAGTTAAACATTTGTACTTTATTGTCAGAATCGTTGTTGTACATGGACATCCCAATGGATTTGCACTTCTTTTTACAATATGTACCACATATAACAGCACCTACATGTTATTTACACACATTACACAAGATTGTATCACAAAGCAGTGTGTGAAATTAGCAAAAACAAGTGTCTTGCTGAACCAACACACCCAATAGTCCATGAGCTGGCTAAATAAAATAAAATATCACAGCCATCGGCCCCTACTGGTTCACAGGTAACTGCCCCTTGTAATTTTTTTTAGGTTTAAAGCTGAAATTACAAGTGTGAAATTGTTGTAAATCTTGAAAATCAATAGGCTAAAAGATGCAATGCAACAGTCTAAGTTCTTACTAATGGGTCAAATGTAAACAGAGTATGTAAAATGCAAGCTCTGAAACCCTGTTCCTGCCTTCAATGCAAAAATGCAATAAGCAGTACTCAGTCAAGTGTATATGGATGGTGATATGGAAACTGTGCGCATTTGTATGTTTGTAAACTCGACAATAGGTAACAGTGTGGTTATAAAATTACAAATAAGAATGCAGGACAAGGGTACTCGCTCAGAGAAAGCTTTGCTGGAAAATCCATCTCTATTTTCCATCCCGTCACCCCACTCATCTGTGTGAACTGAACTGACCTGCTTTGTGATAAAACCCTGGTTTGGGCTGCAAAGAGCTACTAAAGAAAATAAAAATAGGATGAATTTAAGTAAAAGAGGAAATAATTCGGTCAACAGGATGCTGGATTTTCTAGAACCCTGCATCCACAGGCACACACACAAACACTCACACACACACACACACACACACACTCACTGTTGCACAACAACCAGAGATAGTGTAGCAGCTTTCTCAAAGGCGAAGACAAGTACAACACAGTAAGTGGCAGTTCTGCTGTCAGATACGCAAACACACAGAGCAGCAGCAGAATGAGATACACACGCTGACAAGCGCTTTTGAGTCGAGTCACACAGCAGGGAGGCAGGTCGACCTCCCGAGGAGCCCGGTTTTTAGTCCAGTCTGGTTTGGCCAGCACTCCACAGAGGAGGAAGTACGCTTGAAGAGAGAGGGGAAGAGAACTGCAAACAGTAGGCAACAATCTGGTTCATCTGATTATCGAATGTGAAGCACAAAGGAGCCCGGCCAAACAAACAAAGTTTAACTGCAACATTCTGAAATTTAAGGATTTCAAGTGTAGGGTGTGCTTGCTTCAGTATCCAATGTACTGAGGGAAAAACAAACAAACGGGTAAGTAAATGTGCTAAAACAAAACAGAACTCTGCCATGTTGAAAATGTGTGACACAATAACAAATTTCTTGTTGACAAAATATGGGCGGTGGGCAAATAAAGAAGGGGCTAAATATGTAGGCTGATAATAGTTATGTTTTTTTTATTTGTAGCATTGCAACTAAGGAGGAAGATTTCAATGGTTGGCCAAGGCATCAGTCTCCATCAGCTGTCCAGTCGGCCACCGAGGAGAGGACAGAGGAGGGATCAGTGGTGTAGGAAAAGTTCAGAGCATCCTGTTACGTTTATGAGTGGGTGAGTCTGTGATGACATCACTACAGGGGGCAGGGCCTCGTTTACGGTTGGCGGTGGAATCTAAATGGAGTGCCATCTCCTCAGCTATGAAGGTGTTGAGATCCACATCATGAAGACCATTCCTACGACGACTGAGGGACTGGGCAGGGTGAGTCGGGGATCCAGGAGGACCAGAACGCACAGAAATGCTGGCCATGGCACCACTGAGACCTGGTAACAAAAAAGAAAAGAAACAAAACATGAAGCTACATCAAACTGTATGAACTCTAGCGTTATACTGTTGGAGTGCAACACGGTCCTGCTAAACAAGGCAATTTGGCTAACCGTGCAGTGCTATGGCCTCTCTGAAAGGCTGCAGGTCCGTCTCCACGGAGCTGACTGTCTCTGGAGGTGATGGTCGGCTTGCAGACACCCTGGGCGGGGCACGAGCAGTCCGTGGAGGGGGAACTTTGCCACACAGGAAGCTGATGAGGTCTTCTCGTCTGATAGTTCTTCTGCGTTTCTTCACCCATGCAATCACTTCCTTATTTCTACGCTGGTGCCCTAAGTGAATGCCCAGATCATAGCTCCGTTGGCGGGCCTCCATGCTCTCTGATGGCACACAAAGATGGCTGAGTTTAATAAATCTGGATGTACTTTGGGATGTAAAACACCATAAAAAGTTCATAAACCATAAGATGGGAAACAGTCAAACTTATGTGTTACTCACCTTTATACAGGTTGGTGACAGCTGTGGCCGCATTCTGGAAGGGCACCCAGAGAGAAAGGCCTTGCTGCTGACATACTCGATCTGTAAATTACATTTAAGAAGTTAGCCATATTGTGATGAAAGCCTTTAAATGGCTTTGAAAAGCTCTAATTTTTTTCTTGAGGGAATTTGAGCATAAACAGTCGGAAATGGGCTTGTGTAAAACAAATGCACTTGTGCACTACCAAACAGAAAACTAACTGTTTCATGAGGGGAGTGTTTTCCAAAACGATACTTAACATTCATAATGTCTCTTTATACCTTTTCTTTCCACAAGTAAACATCTTTTTATGATTGCATGAGAAGTGATAATTGAATTGTGGCGATTTTACTATCAGTTTGATCAAAAAGTAATCATCGTCTATATGTCGGCACGAAGAGTACAGCTGCAGAACAGAAATGTAAAGAACTGACCGACCAGCTGATGTTTGGGTTTGCCACAAAAATACACACAAAAATGTGAGCTTAGGGCTTTTTCAGTACTCCTTTTCCAATTATCCTTTCATAGCCCTCCATTTGATCCGCAGCAGCTGTACAGTGGGTTTCCCCCTCTCTGGTATTTCACTGTATGTACATACAGCTGTGCTGCTGTGTGTAAACATACAGTGATGGGAACTTGGAAGCAGACGCATCTGACCAAGCAGGATTTATAGACTAAGTGAGGGATAATGACTGCACTTGACAAGCAGTTCCTAGATAATGTTGCAGCACATTCCAGCGACAGAGTAAAATAAGGCATGTCTACAAATAGTGAGCAAGGCAGCCAGTACAATTTTACTCAGTGAAAAATTACTAGTTAAAATCAAACCAATGTCATCATATTAGAATATATTCTCTTTCAATGTGTGCTCACGGCAGAAGTTGACAGGGACCCTACTTACTCCTCATCAACACATTTTAGTATAATGTCCAAAACTCTCTGCAGAGCAGTTCCAGATTTCAACAAGAAAACATTAACGTTAATCCTTTCGCCATTTTGTTCTACTATGAACAATAATGCAGTCATCAGCAAAAGTCAACTAAGCTGTGTCTTGCATTAAAATGTCGTTATGCCGCTAACTTAAAAACATCCGCCACACCACTGCGACAACTATCGCTGCGTTTGAGCGTCAACAAATGTGTTTTCAATCTGCAATCTCCTCCCTGTGTATCGCCATTTTGACTAGCTAGATGGCTGTTAACGGGTAGACAAAAACATTTTTAGTGTGAGCCATGTTGTGCCCAAACAGGAAGAGCAAATGTGCTGAAAACTGTAAAAACACACACCTATGTGTTACCATGTGTTTTGGGAGACACTTAGACTGGACTTTAAAATCAATCTGTACAGCCCGAAGACCTCTGACAGCTCAGGCCACTGTGAGCCAGATTGTCCGACACTCTGACACGGTGACCGGCTCATAGCGGCTGCTAGCGTTAGCTTGGGGGTAGCATTAGCTTCCGTTAGCTGGGAACGGAACGGTCCCGATGCCGAGAACAGAACCACGGAATAATCAATTTCATACTCATCTTGAACAAATACACATTCTTGTATTATCAACCACAACCACGGAAACAAGCGTCTCTACTTGTGCTATAAATATTTAGCAGCGAACAGCTAACGCTGTTAGCTTTAACATTGCCCTTTGTGTCTCTCCGCCCAGCGATAACGCTAGCTGGCAGGATGAGCCTTCATTAGCTCAGACAGTTAGCTTCACTTGAACTTCACTATCTTCAGTGCATACCTTTGTAGAGCTGTGCCACCGCAGTGGCTGAGTTCTGAAAGAGGTGCCACAGCTTCTGCTGACTTTGTTCGCTCTCCTCTTCGTTTGGACTCTCCTGCTCTGCTTCTGCTAAGCACTGCCGTTCCCATTTGGAGAACCAATGTTCGGGGCCGTGCTCTTGGATCTCCGCTTCTCCCTCCTCTTTCCTCTCCTCCATAGCTAACGTTAGGCGTTAGCTAGTAGCTTATGAGCTAGCCTTCGCGTTAAATGTGGAATTCTTAGTTTTTGGATCACTGACCTGTGTCTCTTCAGTATTATACTAGAGAAATACGTTATTTGACCCTAACAGCCTATAGAAAAGAAAAAAATATTACTGCTGTTAGAGCCGCATTGTGAACATTTTCTCCTCCGCCCGCAGTGTCTATGCTTAAAACACAGCAAGGAACGCGATGACAACACCTTAGAATTTCTGGAACTGGCCCCTCCCGTTTCTCGTTGTACTGATAAGTGATTGGCTGAAGCGATCATTCTGGGCGGGCCTTGGTGCCGCACACGAAGCCTGATTGGACGATGGCTAGAAAAGAGAAAAGGTCAGAGAAAAACAACGTTGATCCCACCCAGTAGAACCACAGCCTGCTGTACTGCATTCTGTACAGCAGGGGGCAGCCTGACCATTGAAACGTGAGCTCAACACATGTGGCCAAAAGTTTAACACCTTGTCCACACTGTATTTGTTTTTCAGTACTTTTGTTGACAGGTGTTTTCATTGTTTCATTTATCCTTATTTTGAATTTAGAAATATTAACTATAATGACCTCTGAGGACTAATAATAATTAGCATTTAATACTAAATGTCAAAACCTAACAGTAGCTCAAGCCAGGATTCAGGTCCAGTAATGTCATTAATGCAGCATTACCTAAACTTAACTAATTGGAGTCTATCCCAGTTGACTTAGGGGTAAGGCAAGGTACATTACAGAGAGACAGAGACAACCAAGCACGCTCACCTTCAAACCTACAAACAATTTAGAATCACCAGTTAACCCCAGCATGTCTTTGGACTGTGGGAGGAAGCTGGAGAACCCGGCGAGAACCCGCACTGCACAGGTAGAACATGCAGACTCCACACAGAAAGACCCCAGACCAAGATTCAAACCCTTCTCGTTGTGAGGCGACAGTGATCCCTTTCCTGTTTCAACATGGCAAAAATATTTTTTCTGCTTTGTTGTGGAAGAGCTTAACTAGTTAAGACAAAACTCCATCAAACACCTTTGGGTTTGGAAGACTGTGAGTCGGCCCTTATAGTCAAACATTAGTCTGCACTTTAACCAAAGCTCAACTGGCTACAGCAGAGCTACTGTAATTCCTACAGCAATGCTCCAAAATCTCGTGGCTCCTTTGTTTAATGCGACTGTCTCCAGCTTTCCATTAATCTGAGGATGAATAAACAGATATTAATAATGTAAGGATGCATACCATTTGCATTACAACAGGAGTAAGCAGCAGAACAGCCAGTATAAACACTGTCATCTGTTATCATCGGCTATTTACTCAACAGCTTGGGATGTGTTTTTCGTGCAATAACTGCTGCAGTTGAGCTTTTGAGTGGAAAGTTCAATGTCACACTGTATTTTATGGCCACAATTCTATGAGTCAAAGACTGAGTGAGTCCAAAGACCACAAACTTACTGATTACCCTCTCCCCTACCTGTCTCCGTGTCAGACTGCAGCTGTCTCTCTTTGAATCCAGCTTCCTGCCTCTCCTGTCCTGTGCCTCGGCTGGTACCACCGCTGCGTTTGAAGATGAGTAAGGGGGAGCAGAGCGTTTACAATGTTGAGGAGTACATCCAGGAAACGGGGCCAACTATCACGTTCAGCAACTTGCACTACTGTGTTCAAGAGACAAGACTCTGCTGCAAGATGGGTCCTGAAAAGTTTATCCTCAAAGATGTAAGGTAAGCCATGTTGTGAAACTGCGAAGCACGATATTATATAACACCAACAGCGTTGTTACTGGGTTGTGACTGTCTGATAACACGCTGAAGCCACCTGTAGTATGTGAAACTCAAGGTGCTTCTTCTTGTTTAAATAGTTTATTTGTGTTACTATTTACCAGTAAGTTTGTGTCAGTTTGTACATGATTTTATCGTTTTACTGAGCGGTAAGGCAAGGATGCTGTGGCACACTGAAATCCTGAGCCAGAGGGATGCATTTACTTCATATGCGTCTTTTGTTGCAGTCATAGTGTAGAACCAGAGTCTTTCAAACAACATACAGTTAAATCAAGTAATGAAAGGCCAAGTGACTTTTACAAGGCACCACATTTTACGACGTTAAAGTTTTCAGTTGTAGTGGGACTTTTTCTATGCTGCTTTACTTCCTGTTGTGCAGTTATTTTTAAAATAGGCCAACAAAAACATTCCTATGAATTATAAAGACAGAATATATAGATCTCAGTGCACAATACTGGACATTTTCCAAGAGACACAAAAGGTATGACTGAGAGGTGAGTAATATTTATCATTACAATAAAAGTTCTAAAAGCTAAACAGCTTGTAACACTTAAGTAGAAATAACAAAGAACATTGAAAACTATGATATGGCTTTATGCTCAACAGTGCTGTTAATGTCATAGTGTTGATCAAACATCTTTTTATCTGACACTTGTGATTAGAGGGTTTGTAATATTAAGTTTTAAGCATTAAAAAGGGACTGATGTATAGCACACATAAAGGGTCATTGCTGTGTCTGGAAAAATATGTATATTTTTAAGTGCTCTCTAAAAAAAATCACTTGATATGACTTGATTGTTGCAGTGGCATCATGAGACCGGGGATGAATGCTATCATGGGGGCCACAGGAAGCGGTAAAACATCGTAAGACATGCTTTTATTTACATACATATACACAGGCATGCTCTTGTACACATGCGCCACCCACGCAATCGCAAAAAAGTGAGTTTTTTTCGTTCTCTTTGACAGACTCTTGGATGTGATCGCAGGCAGAAAAGACCCTGCTGGACTGCGCCAAGGGACTGTTTTGGTGGATGGCAAAGCTGTCACATCTAAACTAAGGCTCAGCTCTGCCTATGTGGTTCAGGTACACAAACATACACTCATCCTTTGACATTAGACTCCCGTGTGTGGTCTATCTACATATCCCTTGTGTTTCCAGGATGATATCGTGATGGGCACTCTGAGTGTGAGAGAAAACCTTCTGTTTAGTGCCAGCCTGCGTCTCAGCCGGAAGCATCACAACACTGAGGATAAATACAACAGAGTAAATGAAATCATACAAGACCTGGGCCTCACAGACTGTGCTGACACTAAGGTACAGAGCTACACTCACTTTACAGCCCTGTTGGGAGCAATACTAGAAGGCCTTATTCAATCCTAAAGACGGTTACAAAAGATAGGGTTGTTATTTTATGAGTGCTACAGCAAACATTGATAGTTTTTTATAGGAATGTATAAATAGAAATCCGACCTTCAGGCCTTTCCTAATCCCTTTAGTATGACTTGTAAAATTTAGAGACCAAGGTTCAAACTAAATTGTGTATGTAAACCATCTCAGACCATATGAAAAAGAATATGACACTTCTCCTGTTACCTGATAAATTGTGAATGGTTCTGTGTTTGTCTAATGGGCCATATTTTTGGTTGGCAGGAAATTATGTGTATTCTGTCGTGATGGAATTTAAACCGAATTGGAGTACTTTAGTCAATAGTGACTGATGTAGAAGTAAAAAAAAACAAAAAACAGAAACAATAAGTTCCAAACTTAATTTCTTCTACTGGGTTAATTCTTCCCGTTCTGTTCATGCCAGAATCAAGTGTTACATGTTCGTCTTTGTGTGTGTGTGTGTGTGTTCAGATAGGCACTGAGTTTCTGCGCGGTGTGTCAGGAGGCGAGAGGAAGAGGTGCAGCATCGGGATGGAGCTCATCACTTCTCCCTCTCTGCTGTTTCTAGACGAGCCAACCACTGGACTGGATTCTAACACTGCAAACTGCATCATCAATCTGCTGCACAAGTACAGCACAATTATTATTTAATCACACGTCTGACAACGCACACTCTCACATACAATAAGATACAAATGACAACTGAGTCATGCTGTGTCATGTTGGTGGGTTCAAACAGTGAGTAACATGTTGTTTATTGTCAGCTTTAATAACTGTTTGCACAGGGCAGCCAGTGCTGGTGCCATGCAAATCATGTTTTCACCATCTACTGCTGTCTTCATAACTGCATAAAAATGTTCAAACATTTGTCCAGGCTGTCCAGAAGAGGCAAGACCGTGATCTTCTCCATTCACCAGCCGCGATACTCTATCTTCAGACAGTTTGACCACCTGACTCTGATGCATAAAGGCGAGATGGTGTATGCAGGAAGCGCAGAATATGCACTGAAGTACTTCACAGACCTCGGTACATAACGAGTGTGTTTTGTGAGCTCAGTATGAAAGGTGGAGAACCTTGATTGGGATTCATTTTATATGCTGAATACTCACGTACCAAAGGGAGATTACAGTTCTGAATGACACCGATTGGCACTCAGCTGCAGTATCACAGGGGTCACAGTTTAGTGATATAATATTACATAATATTGCACATCCTCAATATGAAACCAAACCGTACTCGCACTTGTTTCTCTGAGTTCACAAATCCCTGGCCCAGATTTGCTTTGTTTTCACAGAAGCATTCATCACAAAGTTGCATGAGGATGTCTGTGTGTCTTTGGACAGGTTACCAAATACAGTCTTTCGACAATCCCGCTGACTTCTTCATGGACATCACAAATGGAGAAGCACAGTCCACTCTGGAAACACACATTGAAGGTAAACAGATGTAAAACAAACTGCTGTTTAAAACAGCAACTGAAGCTCTAAGTAAGTTTATTGGTGGTTTGTGAGTAGCAGAACATCCAAGTGGAGAAATCAGATTTGGCTAAAACTGGTTGGACAGTTATAGTTTTTCAACAGTGTTTCAGGAAATATATTTTACATTGTAACTGAACCTGCCACATTATAAAACATTATTAAATAGCTGGTGACTAAAGAAACTCACAAGGTCATAACATCATGTCAAGCTTCTGCTTTCAGCCTCGATGCCCTGATGAGGCTTCATTTTTGCAAATCATCCAATCTCTAAAATGAGTTTAACAGCTGTTATAAAAACCGAACTTTATTATACTGTCTGTCCTTATCTGACATGAGGCTGTGAAATTTCTGTCTTTCCTAAGAGGACGGTGAAAACGTGCTGGCAATAAAGTATCGGCAGTCCCAGCTGTACCAGAATGTGGTTGCAGAGCTGGAATACGGGTACCAAAACACTGAAGAGGTCGAAAAGGAAGACAAGCCAGTCACCTATGCCACATCTTTCCTTTATCAGGTCAGCAAATCGGCATCTCAGAATCAGATCAAAAAGTTGCACAAAAACAAGTTTCTTAAATCAAAAATATAAAGAATGAATTTCAAGCTGAGGGAAATAGTATCTGAGCTGATATAATTAACAGGAACAAGTTAATGATGTTACGTCACAGACTTTAATGACTGTGGGAGCCAGCTGTAATGTCAGTGTGCTTGGCTGCCCGCTGAATGAGCCCAGTTTACTATCATCATGCCCATAAAAAGCGTTTATCACATCCTTGTTTGTGAGACAGTTGCGTGTGGTGAGTGGCAGGACGATGCTGAACACCTTTAGGAATCCTCAGACCTCCTACGCCCAGATGGCTCTCAACATCTTTTTTGCCATTCTGGTGGGACTCATTTATTACCAGATGCCCCTGACTATGCCTGCGGCCATACAGAACAGGTACACCTAACCTGCAGTGTGACACCCAGCCTAATTTGACTTATCAGATCTGCCCTGTTTTAACCTCTGTACACTAACTTACTGGGAATACAAGATTTCTTTATTGTTTGTTTGGGGGTTTTTTGTACATTATTGTGGGAAATTAAAAGGCAAATGTAAACGTCTCCATGTCAAGAAAGGATGCAGGGTTCAGGGTGTCATGGCAAGAATTACTAAAATGTCAAACAAAATGATTTGCTATTTAGATGAAGATCTAATATGCAAGTATTGGATGTTTTATTTCGATTTAGAATACACTGAATGAATAAATATAAAGCCATGATGACTAAGGGACGAGACCTTTATGATGTTATATTATCAGATCAGCCATTGCTGACATTTTCTACTTGACTATCATCTGGTGAACTGATAACAAAAGAGCTCTTTCTCTTCCTTTTTCTCTCTCAATAACAGGACTGGAGCATTCTTTTTCCTGATCATCAACATGGTGTTTGGGAACCTTTCTGCTGTTGAACTCTTTATCAAAGAAAGAGCAATTTTTATGTGAGTGAGATGTAAAGATTGTGTGTGCTTTTTAAGGACATACATGTGTTTTGCTAAAGAATGTGTTTGTCTACATTTTCTTCCTGTTTTCTTCCATTTAAAAAGACTAAAACCAACAGAGCTTTAGTCTGTCTCACAATACTTACAGCACTTTCTGACCTCTCTTTTCTGTCTGTGTTACTGAGCCCTAAGACCATTTGTCTAGAGGTTATACATTTAGATAAAACAGAGCATAAAGTCTTGTTTTGGTTTTGTTGTGTTTAGAAAACAAACATTTTCCAAAAACAATTGGACATCATAGTTTTTAGCAAACATTGTTTTGACAGGAAGAAATATTGCATTTAATGGGGACTATTTTCGGCTGTGGATTAAATACACATTTGTTACCCTAGTGACTATTTACCAAAGCGCAGTGTCCACAGTGATGTCACTAAAGGAACACATCACCAAGTGCAACGGTGTGGCTCGGTGATGTGTTTGTCAAATTGTAGTCTGACTCATCAGATATAGACTGTGGAAATAAGGCCGGTGTTAGTCTTTCTGTGTTTGTGAGGACCTGCTAGGGTCTGTAAGGTTCTGCATGATGTAAATTTCAGCACTTTCCCAAATCCATCAGAGTCCATATGGACGTCCACATGTTTGCATCCATCAGTCTATTTTCTGTACACTGCTTTATCCTCTGTAGGATCACGGGGGGCTGAAGTCTATCCCAGCTGGTTTAGGGTGAAGACAGGGTTCACCCTGGACAGGTCACCAGTCTGTCACAGGGCTACATAGAGACAGACAACCAAGCACACTCACATTCACACCTACAGACAATTTAGAATCACCACGTAGCCTCAGCATGTCTAGAGTGTGTGAGGAAGCCAGAACACCCCGTGAGAACCCACTCTGCACATTTAGAACATGCAAACTCCACACAAAAAGATCCCAGGCCTAGATTTAAACCCAGCACCTTTGAACTGTGGGGCGACAGTGCTACATGTCTGCATGCAGTCCAAAATTTGTATCACCACTATGCCACAATGACAATAGTGTGCATGTTCGGCAGCAGTGTATATTTTGCAGAATACGTACATATGACTCCCACAGACTAAAAATGCAGTAAAATAACAATTAAACATCTGTGAGTCTCCACAGCTGTCCATTTGCATGTTGGTACTGGAGACAACCAGCACTTAACTGACAGTCCAGCAGGGTCCGCATGACATAAACTTCTCCCTAAGTGTGTTAGAGAACAAAATTTATGTCTGTCCTGTATGCAGACAGCCGCAATGCTACTAGAGCAGTAGTGCGTGTGCTTAGCAGCACTGTACAAAACAAGTAGACGCTCATCTACTGTGCATGTATGTAAGAGATTCCTCCAAGCAGACACTGTCTGTTTGATACTGTTTTCAGAATCCCATTAGCTACAGGAAACATCAACAATTATTTCCAAGCTTGCAGCCTATGCACTTAAAACAGCAGGTTTTCAGCCAAGCAGATTCTTTTGGTAACTGGTTGTTATGATCTACAATGAAGATGTGTCCAACACTTTCTGTCTAACAGAGACGTCCTCGCATCTTTGCCACTTGATTAAGAAAAATGTTGCATTTTTCATGCATATTTGTTTGTTTGTATAGGGCTGCAAGGTGGCGCAGTTGGTTAGCACTGTTGCCTCGCAGCAAGAAGGTTGCTGGTTTGCGTCCCGGTGGGGACACCGGAATCTTTCTGCGTGGAGTTTGCATGTTCTCCCCGTGCAGCGTGGGTTCTCTCCGGGTTCTCCGGCTTCCTCCCACACAGTCCAAAAACATGTTGAGGTTAATTGGTGATTCTAAATTGTCCGTAGGTGTGAATGTGAGTGTGCTTGGTTGTCTGTCTCTAAGTGTAGCCCTGCGATAAACTGGTGACCTGTCCAGGGTGTCCCCTGCCTTCGCCCTAAGTCAGCTGGGATAGGCTCCAGCCCCCCATGACCCTAGTGAGGATTAAGCGGTGTATAGATAATGGATGGATTTGTTTTTGTACATGCAATTTATTTCAAAATTGAAAACAGGCGATTACGAGCCTCATACTGTCAGTGATGGCTAAACAGTGTCACTTGAATTTGATCTATTTTTCATACCTTTACAATCTCCTGCTTTTAACTCTGTCACAGTGTTTGTATTTATGTCTTTATTGAGTGTCTTTGTTTTTCTGTTGCAGTCACGAGAATGCCAGTGGTTATTACCGTACCTCCGTGTACTTCCTGTCCAAGGTCTTTGCTGATCTCATCCCCAACCGCATCATCCCCATTATTGTGTTTTCAGCCATCAGCTACTACATGATGGGTAACATATATGCAAGCAAACATATTTACAAAAAAAAATACACAACATATTGTATCATACAGATGCTTGATGCAGTCAGTCATCAAGCACAGCGAGGAGCAGATGCTGTTTCATTCACATCCATGAAATTATGATTATTTAGGACTCCAAATCCATAAAGTGCTTTTTCAATTTATTCACTTGACTTAGAGTGTGAAAGCAGTCAATTATGTAGTGAATAAGAAAGCAGCCCAATTCTTTCTGCGCAGGCTTCATCTCAAGGGTGTTCCAGTTTAGATGAATAAAATCTGGATGACAGGGAGTTGCCTGATTCCACTTTTAGACATCTTCCTAATTTATGCACCCCACTGCTGAGTGCTTTTTGTCAGGAACCTTTCATTTGACCTTTCTGCCGTTGCTGAGGAGAAACCTGCTCAAAGAAACATTGTTCGTTGTATTCAAATGCCCATTTTTGGTTTATGGAGAGTTCTCTGTCTTCCTGTTTTCACCACTCCTTCAGGGTTGAAGCCTGCCTTTACGGCCTTCCTCTGTTTTGCTCTGACCATGTCTCTGGTCAGTCTGGCAGGAGTTGGTCTGGCCTTCCTCGTCTCAGCAAGTTCATCTTCATTTGCGATGGCCAACATTCTCATTGCTCTACCCTTCGTCTTCATGATGGTGAGATGCCAAGACATATAATGTGCACGCTGGGAATCATAGTAGTAGAATGATCCTCTTACTCCTTCATTTTTCATTTTAGGTCTTTGGTGGTTTTCTTGTCAATCTCAACAACATGCTGAGCTGGCTCTCTTGGCTGAAGTGGATCAGTATCTTCAAATATGGATTGGATGTAAGATATGGAAAATAGGCAGAGCGAGAGAAGAGGGTGTTGTGTTTCTGTCAATGAGATCAGTGGGGTTGAATTTAATCTGCCTTTATCTGAAGCGAGGGAGTCGTTCAGCCTGATCTCTTTGTCTCTCTTAGGCTACATTCATCAACGAGATGCAAGGACAGATATTCGACTACAACGGCACACTGTGAGTGTGATAACACAGCCGTTGTTTCAAAGGCAGTAACCAACCACCTCTCCACACATATACACACATTAAGTGTCTCTTCCCTTGTGTTGTAGTTTCCTAGGGGATTGGTACCTGGAACAGCAGGGCATTGACTACTCTGTGTGGGGCTTCTGGCAGAACGAGGTGGCTCTGCTGGCAATCACGACCATCTGCATGGTCCTGGCCTATGTGCAGCTGCGACGAATCAACCGCTGGAAGTGATGCCCGTCCGTCTGTTTCTGTATCCATCAGAAACCACGTCTTTATCTTATTTATTTGACAAAAAATAGATAAATTTGGAGAGCTAATGTTTTATATATTTTCACTGGATAAAAATTCTAAAGTCAGTATTTAAATTTTAATTTATAGTCATTTATTTGTTCAACATTTTACATGGAATCTCTCATTCACTGACACCCTCATGTGGGAAACAAACACACGTGTTGTAACATTTGACTCCCAGGTGGATAAGCTGCTGCTAAGCACACTTGGTCTGTGCACGTGAAATGTCTAATAACAGCCAGGCCAACATCTAAGTCCTTACAAAGCTACTTACAGTGAGTGAGACAACTTAAGAGGCAAGAAAGAAAATACAGGTGGGTGTCAAATTAAAGGAAAAACCTGAAAAAATGGGTGGAGAAACATACAGGGGCACACAGGGGCACTGCATGGTACAGTTAAGCGATTATCATCCAGTCATGCTCTGTGGTGTGTTTAAAAAATGCTGAGCTCAGCTGAAGTGATTCAGATTTTATATCATTATGACTAGAAAAAAAAGATCGAAGCAACTTTGAAAGAGGACTCATTGTCGGGGCACAGACGGCAGGAACTTCAGTCACAAAGACTTCTGTGTTCCAATTAAATCCAATTCAGTTCAGTTCACTAAAGTGACATCGGCATTAACATCTCTGGGACAGGCATCGGTAAACACAGTCTGAAATTGTGGTCGACAGCCTACTTTTGATGACCATGATGCTCATGAATTAGTGCGATATGGAAGTCTTCCTCTGGTGACTAAGAATGTTACTGACAAACAGTGAGGAATATTTCAGTAGAGTTGCAATGCAAAAAAAAAAAACCCACTTAATCACAATGATAAATACACATTTAGGAGTTCAGTTGTGCAAAGAGCAGATAGATGTGGTAAGAAGGGATATGGTCAGAGGACTAATTTGTCACCACGTTCTTGATAAGTGATTGCATGTGTGATGTACACAGAGGGTGGTTCAGGCCATCGTGCTGGATCATTGCAGTGAGGGGATCTGGCGGCTCTGTTTTACTGTGGGTGGTACTTTATTGACTTGGTTTGGGTCCACTTGTCCCCTCAGAGCGAAGGGTCACTACAAATCAACACAAAGTTGCTCTGAGTGATCACCTTTACCCAGTGATGAGACATTTCTATCCTGATGGGAGTTGTCTCTTCCAGGATGACAATGCCCTCATCCACAAGGACACAAGAGGTCACTGAATATTGTGATGAATCATAAGTTGTGACCTTCACAGCCACCAGATCTCAACCCAGCTGAACACCTATGGGACATTTTGGACCAACGTGTTAGAGAGCACTCCTCCCGCACCATCACCAAAACACTAAAAAGAATTAGATGGTGTTCACCCCTCCAGTAGAGCTCCAGAGACTTGGGGAATTAATGCCAAGATAGCACTGAAGTTACTCTGGTGGCACGTCGTGGCCGAATCTTTACTATGACATTGGTTTTTCCTTTAATTTGTCACCAATCTTTATTTACATTGCAGGGAATCTTTTTGTGTAAAAAAGATTACATTTCTCTCTCTCCCAGGTAAAAGGTAACAAAGCCGGTGCATAAAGCTACTCCTCTTTTATTAATGCTCTACAGAAATAGTGAAAGAATTCTTTAAATTCAAGTGCAATGTACCTTTTTTGTTAAAACTTAATGCATGTTTTACAAAAACACTGCTGATAGCTTATCAGCATGAAGTAGGGATGTAAACGAATTAGCTGCGTGCTGTAAAACTTGATAACAGGACACAGAAGAAAAAAAAATCACACAGCTTGAAAAGCACTGAAGTTGCATTACTGTTGCAAAATCGTTGTGTTTTGCTTTTGACGTTATCAGACGTACAGATCACTCTGTGTCATCTCTTTGTTGAATAAAGGTGATATGTGATATATACAAACTTGCTGTTAACGGTCCCGATTTTTCTGACTGCACCACAGTGTGAAAAATTCCTAATTGTGCACTGTTTTACATATATTCCCACTAAAGGTGTGCTGCTCTGTGTCTAAAACTGCATTCTGACCTCTCCTTTTACAACTTAATGAGTGTGGGGTTGTCGTGCAGTGTGCTTGTTACACACTTCAACCTTGTTTGAAAATTATGCGTCAAAGTTTAGAAAATAAATTAATAAATCACATGTAAGAAATTTCAGTGGTTCTATGCACATTAAGTAAGTTGTGTATCTTATGACTTTGAAATTGAATACCTCAAATTTGCTGCAAGAAGCCCAATAAGCTGTAATGCATATGTTCAAAATAAATGTCAAAACTGTCATTGTCACAGTGGATGTTTATCTCAGAAGAACAAGAACACTGGTCTTCTACTAGAAGCACACATGAAAGAGACAGCAGATGAAGAGCATGTAATAGAAACTAGCCAACACAGAGAGACAGGAAGACCACTCATTTAAATTCACCTTCAGAAACTTTTCACACTGCTTGCACTCTTATGCAGGCTGTTTCCCACTGTTACCGGAGTGTTTTCCAGCCCACGGAGCCACTCAGTACATTTCAGCACCACACGTTCATCCACAGAGTAGTCCTCTTCCTCGTACTCCACATCATCGTACTTATGTTGCTCATTCAACAGTGAGATTTTCAAAATTGAGCTGATGTCACCCAGTTCAGCATCAGCATTGTTTTTAGCAGCAGTTCTGCTATTTAGAGTTCCGTTTCTCTGTGTCGCTGGTTGATGCCTTTTAGAGACATTTTCCCTCCTGCGTCGGGAATCTGTTGCACTTCCGGAAGCACCGGCTCCACCTCCAGCATTTCTGGCAGCTGAACGTTGATGCCTCTCGCTGTTCCTACGCTGCAGCAGCAGAACAGCCTCCGGTGTGAGAGTCAGCGTGAAACGGGCCTCCTCTTGATCCCTGCTCCTCATCTTCAGCTCCTGTTCAGCCTTGACAGAGCCGTGGCTCACATGTTTGCGCTGCTGTGTCTTACACAGAGACTCCCCCGAGCTGGAGGCAGGGGAGCTGTCTGTTTGTGACGAGGGCAACAAGCGGTCCCTTCTCTTTGTATACAGCTCTGCCCCTGACAGTCCTTTAGTTGTGGGTAGATGACTCCTTGGTTGATTCTTCTTCCCCAGTTGCTTCAAGTTTAAAGTCAGTCGCTCCTTCACTGAGCTGCTTTTGTCTTCTCTTGAAACTTTAGTTTTTGCCACACTAGCTGCAGATAAAGTGCTGCTGATAGGCCTCTCCTTCCCAGTCAGGCCTGACACAGAGCGTGCAATCGACACTGGTGGTATGAATGGCATTTTGGCAACACAAAGGATCAAGTAGGAAAACAGTTCAGTTTTGCGCTTGAAATGCTGGAAGAAAAAAGAAGAGGGCACTAAGGAGGAAACCGATTTACCGAGGAAGGCGAGATACTCCGGTGCATCTTCAGCCATGCAGGGGTCAGCAGACACGTTGCTGCTGGGATCCACCCGTTGATCCTCCGCCCGGGAATAGCAGACATCCTGTCAGCGTTTTATACCTGAGCGGCGGGAGTGGGAGGGCGGTGGCATGGCATGCTTCAAAAGGCTTCAGAGGAGGCGAAGGACGGCTCTTCCAGCATCTCAAAGATCTAAAATAAACCTACACTTGTAATCCTCCGGTGTGATCAGTGAGGGCACGTTTACTACAAGAACACATGGAGGCTTAATCCACACAAGGTGTATAGATCACTGTGGGTGCACTCAGCAGACTAGCAGCGGTATATGTAATCTATAGAACACAAGGTTAATTCAAGCTTTAAACTTGTGTAGCAAGGGTAACCAAAACAATGTAGCTTTTTTTCTGCAGCATTAAACTACATCTCATGGTCCTCATTAACGAAAGGTTTAGGGGTATTGTTCCTTTTTGTTATTGCTAAATCATTTTGACAATAGAATTTATTTACGGGGAAACAAACATTTTCCTAATGATAAAGCCTTATTTGTTGTCATGCTCATTTTCAAAAGTCAGAAAACAGGAAAAAGATTGGCACAGAAAACATTTATTTAATATAATTTCCTTTCAAAACACAATTAAAATTTAGTTTAAAATATTTTAATTCTACATGACATGAATTCATCCATTTTCTTTTATAACTACACAAAAGTCAGTAGTGTATGTGTTCACTGACAGCATGTCTTCCTTTCCACATGAAGAACCCGTTCACAGCGAGGACAAGTGTGATAGGCGTCCTTGAAGTGGTTTACAAAAAATGGAATCAAACAGCAGCCAAGCAACAACCTGGAAGACAGAAACGACACGTTAGTCTCCATCTTTTGGAGGTGTGTGTGAGTGGTGCTTGGTGATTAGATTTAGGTGTTTCAATTCGCCTCTTCTCACCCGCATAGCACAAAAACGAGACACATGAGCCACGCGTGAGTCCCGACTCTGAAGGTGACCTGAGTGGTGACCTGAGCCTGACAGGAGATGCATGTTGTCAGAGCTGGAGAGCGATACAGGCCGGTTTCAAAGGTCACAAACTTTGGCTCCTGAGCATTTGACGGGGCTGCAGACGCTAATGAGAAGACATGGGGAGATTCAAATGAATGTTTAGTCGGTGAACTCGCACTTTTAGTTCAAGATTCAAGAGTTGTATTTATTTGTCACATGTTTATTTACAGTCGTCCTCGGATGTATACATATCCTCCCATTAAAGAAGTGAAAAAACAGCTGTCACTGAAATAACCTGAAATTGACAAAAGTTATAATAAATAAAAAAAATATGAAAATCATGACTTTGCTTTTGAATTGTGGTTCAACAGAAATAATAATAATAAATTTAAAAACAAGCATGATGGGACCTGTAAACTAATATTTTGCTGAACAACCCTTTGAGTCAATCACTGCTATCAAGTGTTTTCTGTAACTCTCAATCAGACTTCTGCACCTGTTGACAGGTGTTTGGATTTTGGCCTCATCAGCAAAGTGCTCTAATTTGTCTGGGACAGTTTTTTTATTGTTTTTTTTTTTATTATTCTTTTCAACCACAATTCAAAAGCAATGTCTTATTTCACTAAATTATAATTTAGCACATTTTTATTTATTATTACTTTTTTCAGTTTCTAGTTATTTAAGTGACTATTGTGAATTTTGCCTTTTCTTTAATGGAAGGGGATGAATACATTTGAGGACGACTGTAGTGCGGGCAGTGAGATGCAAAATGACTGTTTCAAAAGGCTGTGCAGCAACAACTAGACATGACAAAAACATTCCTTAAAAACAGAGAAGCTTATGAAGACTGAGGAGTAAGGAGACTGTGAAAGACTGGAAGAGCTGCAGTCGTGTGTGTGTGTTTACTACATTTCTGCATAGCAGCATGAGTGCTGTGTGTGCATAGATAAATATTTACTCTGTGCCAGCGCACTGTAGCTTAGAGATGATGTGATCTGGATTTAGATCTGAGGTCAGAGTTCACAGCTGGAGCAGAGAGGTTCTTCCTGAGCACACAAAGCCCACATCTCACCAGGACTAATGCGAAAAATTAATTGAAAAATCCTTTCTAGCTTATGTTATTACAGAATATAGCAGATGCAATTTGTCGAAAGCTTGGCATCCCGTCATTTGTAGAGAACAAGTGTAAAATCCAAGTGGAGGTCAACGCTATACTAGAGGAGTGGATGACGGCTGTACAACCCACAGCCCTAAAATCACAAGTTTAAAATTATTGAATGTTATGTGTTTAAACTAAAGTGAAATGAAAGACATTCAGGCCTACTCTACATATTCAAAATGGAGGCGGATGTGAGGTGAGCATGTACCTGCTGGAGGTGATTGAGTCTGTGTGGAGCAGCCATTTCCTGGAGAAAAGGAGAAGGAGGCTGGTAGCACTGCAGGGGTGCAAGGAGAGACGATTTGGTAGACCTTCACGTCTTGTGTTTTACCATCATCTGGAAAAACGGATACACACTGAGGTTATTTAAACTACAAACTCAGATTATTTTAAGGCCCTCCACACCAAACAATGAGTGATTCTCTTTTTTTAGTTGAGTGGGCATTTTTACCTGGTAAAAAGTATGGAGGAGGTGTAGGAAATGGCTCATCCATACTTGAAAATGATTCCATTTACCAGGCTTGGTGAAGTACCACAGAAATCAGAAGGTAAAACCTGAATGTGTTTGGATGTCTGCAGCCAGCAGCAGCTCATCTGTCGACCCACCAGGTGCAGTGAATTCAGATCGCCTCTGATTGGTTAAAGAACCTATTACCCACAAATCAACAGCAGCAGGATCTTTTCAAATAGGCAGAAAGGTTGTGAAAAGTTGCATTTTATTTATTTTATTTTTTTTACCAAAAAGCCATTTTGCTTAGTCTCACTACAAAAAAATACTGTACGTAACACAAACACATTGTATTATTGTATCTTTAAAAATTCAAATGCGTCAAATACAGAGCACCATTATGTCAGTGTTACAGAGGTTTTTTCTTTCTTTCTTTTTTTCATTATGATTGTTAATGTCTGATTTTGATGGTTGCAGTGGCAACTACATAAATATGCACCACCCATAGTTTCTTTAATCAGCAATCCTGAGCTCTGGGGATGATAGTGAACGCTCAAAACTACTAAATACATTAAGCAGTTTGGATCAAAATAAACAGCACAAATAGGCATATTATAATAATAATGCTGTCTGGCTGTGATGATCAAACTTAGAACTGCACAGTAAAATCACAGAGTTTGGGAATTTGGCCAGATTAACCATAAATAACCTAGTGTTCCTGCTATCTTTTGTGCATTCTGTACTATATTGTGTGACAACATATCAGATTACCCAAAGGATGTGTGCTATTATTGCAGACAAACGCATTATCTAAGCACAATAGCAGTCTGACCACACAGCTAGATTTTGACACAGATACTCCTCAAAACAATGACTTGAGATCAGAATCCACATTGAGGTCATTATCATGTCAGATGACACTGGGCTTTAGTCATGCATTTCCCCCACATTCTCAAACAAAATCTGACTTAATCACATTATGTAAAACTAATTTCCGCGCTGTGAATGTGGTGTTTTAGGGTCTTCTGGGAATCTGGCGCCCTGAAGCCATTTTGCCCGGTTTGGTAATCCAGCGCTGGAAGAAGTCATTTAATAGGGTTTAATACACAGAGCCTGTGGTGTTTTTGTGACCGGTTAAGCCACTTTGGATGTTTCTACGTGAACCACTAGAGGAGCTCTTTCGCACCGGCCGCAGTTTGTGTGTGTGAGACATCGACGTGAACGAGGTTATTCAGTTGAATGTAACAGCTAGCGTGATGATGCTAAGCTAGCTGTCAGCCAGGCATCCACAGGTTTTGCTGCCGAGTTAGCTGCCGGATGCTCCCGGTCGTATCCTGCTGGCCGTCTTGACATTCCCTCAACATTCCTGGACGAATTCGTGTCGACTGACCAGAGTCCGCGAATTCAGGTCCATTCCTGATCTAACCTTTCCCCGCTAGCGTAACTTAGCTTCGCCGGCTAACGAGAGTGCATACTCGGAGAACCGGACCGACGAGGTAGGTTAGCATGCAGGCTAGCGGAATGTACGGCTAATAGTGTCGCTCTCATCGGGAGTAGGAGCATCTCCTGCGAGGAAAAACCGGAGTCTGATATAGAGAAGGGAGGCCTGCTGGTAAATGTGTGGACAGCAGGGCGTCAATATATCTCTCAGATGGAGCAGGGTTGCTGTCAGGCCTGTGTAACACCGGTGAACTGCGAGCTAGCAATTTGGTGAACTTGCTAGTAACGTTAGTGATGTTTTGCTAGTGTTACCGATTTGCCGAGTGAAACAACTGACCCCGATATGGCAATATTACAGTGGCTTGCTAACCACTTTATCCTCATCTAGTAAAGTGTTTAACTTTGCATGTTAGGGTAAAAAAAATAACCGAGACTTTGGTGAAAGTTAGCTGGCTAACGTTACCATGACAATATTATTTTAGCTTAACGGTGGCTAGGAGAAGCAGCCTTTCAGTGCTGATAAGGGTTTAGCTGATGAATCCAAGCTAACAGCTAACAAACAGAACCCGAGTGTCGTCTCAGTGAAGTTAACAGATAACTTGTTGTCCCCTTTAGAAGTCAGCAGACAGGCTCCGTATAAACGCTGTGATGTGTGTAGTTTTAAAGCCCAACGGAGGCAAAGATCAGCCCGTCTGTTCGCTCAGGGTTTGTTTGTGGCTAGTGGCTAAACTAAGTTTTTGCTGTGTGACTTCGCAGAGTTCCACTTAAGGACCACACCCAGACAAGATGTCCCTTCATCAGTTTCTGTTGGAACCCATCACCTGCCACGCGTGGAACCGCGACAGGACACGTAAGACTCAAGAGATTTCCTCCTGGCTTTGAGTGAAGCAATACCAACTCCTACACTTCATACAGTTAGAGAATGTGACCAGGCGACCCATCATATGCCTGGATCACAAATACAAGTTGTGTCTGTATTTGCATGTGCAGGATTGAAGAATTACAGCTAAACAAAATAAGATTTGCAGCTCTTGTTTGCAAGGTGTGCTTTGAGCCACCCAGCTCAGTCTGTGGCTCCTCCCTGAAACTGGTCGAGCTTGTCTGTTATCTGGATGTCCATCATGTGAACCAGCTGGTTTGACTTTTTTTTTTTTTTTCCTCCTTTCAGAAATTGCCATCAGTCCTAATAACCATGAAGTTCATATCTACAAGAAGAGTGGCAACCAGTGGGTTAAGACCCATGAGCTGAAGGAGCACAATGGACACATAACAGGTATTCAGTCAGACTGTTGTGGACATTTTGTGAGACTGATTATTTTAGCGTTCTAATGTGATCATGTGAGGTCTCTATTCCTATGACTAAGCACCAAACAAAAGAAATCTTTGTGATACAGCTATTGTCACAAAAAAAGTTGATACTCCTGAACGATTTATTTGTATAAACAGCTTGATTGCCTTCATTAATTACCCAGCCTCTGTCTTTTTTGTCTTTTTTTTTGTTGGTATTATAGGTATTGACTGGGCTCCCAAAAGTGACCGTATAGTGACCTGTGGAGCAGACCGTAATGCCTATGTGTGGTCCCAGAAGGAAGGGGTGTGGAAACCCACGCTGGTCATCCTCAGGATCAACCGAGCAGCCACCTTCGTCAAGTGGTCTCCACTGGAGAACAAGTTTGCAGTCGGCAGTGGTGCTCGACTCATCTCTGTCTGCTACTTTGAGTCTGAGAATGACTGGTGAGAACATAAGGACAGTCATGATAAAACTTGGAAAGTCTTGGTTCTTGAGATTTTGATAAATGTAATTAATAACACAGTTGTTAATCAGTTATTTTTGGGCATCTTGTAGTATGTTGACATTTTCTAAGCACAGTGTTTACATGCATATATGTGCAGTTTGCATCTTAATTTGCTGCAATTGTTTTTTTTTTTCGGCTTAACAACGCTGTACATCTCCATGTGTTTTAGGTGGGTGAGCAAGCACATTAAGAAGCCAATCCGCTCCACCATCCTCAGTCTAGACTGGCATCCCAACAATGTCCTACTGGCTGCTGGCTCGTGTGACTTCAAATGCAGGTAAAACTCATGTGCGGTAAGACACCTTCAAAAGATGCTAATATGTTAGGACATGAAGATTAAAGTGACTGAAAACTGGCCAACCTCTTTCCCTCTTTGACGTTCTGTTTTTTTTTACACTGCCCACCCCTCCCTCTCTGGCCTCCAGGGTGTTCTCAGCCTACATTAAGGAGGTGGAAGAGAAACCAGGCCCCACACCCTGGGGCAGCAAGATGCCATTTGGGGCTGTGTTAGCAGAATTTGGAGGAGCAGGTCTGCTTTTGTGTCATTATATGTGATCTTCTTTCATATGACTTTACAGCGACCCTTTGAACTAAACCAGATCTGTCTTTTTGTGTGTGTGTGTGTGTGTGTGTGTGGTAGGTGGAGGGGGTTGGGTGCACTCTGTGTCTTTCTCAGCTTCTGGTAACCGTTTGGCCTGGGTCAGCCATGACAGCACTGTCACTGTAGTGGACAGCTCTAAGACTGCCAGGTACTTTCATTTCTTCACATGCAGGGATTTTGCTAACAGTTGTTCATGGGTTAATTATCTAAATGATCTTAGGTATGAATTCATTTATTAAATGTATTTTGCAGCTACAACAGAAACAACAAAGCTAGGAATTATTCAGTTTCAAATGCAATAAAGCAAAGTATTTAGCCGGCTGATTATGAGCTGAGTTTGACGGCCAGCACACTCAGTGTGACTGGAGCTGTGTCTGTTTATACCAGACTGTGGATTCGGTTTGCAATAGAGAACAAGTTGCAGAAAATATTGACAATAGAACAAAAGGTTGTTCGAGTGATAGTTGCTAAGTTACACCAAATAGAGAATATAGGAGAAGAATTGGATCAGGGACCTTTTTGCAGTAACAAAGACAGAAAATCAAATCAAACGCTTGTTGTTTAAACTGGTCGATGAGATAAAAAGATTACACTTGTCGAGCAACAGATGAGGACTTGAATGCATCCCCGGTCCTCTGATGATCTCCAAAAAAAAACAAGCAACCCATTTCATTAAATTATAATCGTCTCCCACACATTCACTAAAATGAAAAAGCAATCCATCACAATAAAACAAACAAACAAACATTCACAAAATGAATGTGGCACTTTTATTTCACTACATGATCATACATTTCCAAATACTTTTAATTACTGGTTACCGTGTAGATTGCATGTTTTGAGATCTGATCATCTGCTGTGGGAGCCAGCACACTGCAGAAGATAAACACCAGATGAACCAGAGCTGAAGCAAGACGAGCATAATAACATAATGACATGCTGTCAACAAATTGCAGGTGACATGATTTGAGGGGCGGTGAAAAATATCACCAAGTTCAGACTGGAAACTCGCACAAACTACATCAGTGCAGTTTTAGTTGTTGGTCACAAACCCGTGATGAATTCTGTAACAACACCAAAGTTGAATATATTTACAAGCGCAATAAACCGAGCCGACTGGTAGTATTGTCGTTAATCTGTTTGTGTGTGTTTAGTCCTTCACAGCTGAAGACGGAGTTCCTTCCCCTCCTCAGTGTCATTTTTGTCTCAGAGAACAGTCTAGTAGCT